AAAGAAACTTATGGAGCAGACTGCTAATACATTGCAAATTAAACTTCAAAACCATTGCTTGGTATGAGAGGCACACAGATTAATGATTCAATGTTTATCAGTCATGTTTCTCCAGAAAAACAGAACCAATAAGATACACTACCTGTAAGATATCTATATATTCTTATATACCTATATGTTTTATATGTGTGTTTGAAGATATACACACACACACAGACACACACACGGGGGAGAGAGAGAGAGAGAGAGAGAGAGAGAGAATTAGTTTTAAGAAAGGCTCCAGGATTGTAGGAACTGGCAAGTCTGAAATTGGTAGGGTAGGCCAGCAGACTGGATCAGGTAAGAGGTGATGATGGAGTCTTCAGTTCAAAATCTACAAGGCAGGTAGGCCAGCAGGATGGAAACTCAGGCAGGATTAATTTGTTATGATCTTGAGGCTGAATTACTACTTTTGGAAACCTTGGCTTTTGCTCTTAAGGCCTTTAGCTGATTGAATGAGGTTCAACGACATTATGGATGAGAATCTGCTTTACCTGAAATCAACTGATTGTAAATGTTAATCACATCTACAAAATATATTCACAGCAACATCTAGGCTAGTGTTTGACCAAACACATGGGTGCCATAGCCTCACCAAGTTGACACATAGTATTAACCATCACAATACCATATCTGATAAAGTGGGCTTTTTTGGGTATTATTTGATTTTAATTTTTAAATTTCCTATACCACTGTATGTCCCCCGCACAAAGTACTCCAAATGTTCCAAGCACCACATGGAACACAAAATCAGAGGAGACACGTTAAGTGTTAATCACCACCAATAACCGTAAGGAATAGTAATAAAATCTTTTCTAATGAAGTATAGAAACATCTTAGAAACTTAATTTTCTGTAGGTGTTCCTTTATTTTATCAAAAATAGTTATTTTGTATAATTTTAAATCAGGAATCTAAGGGGACATGTTACCCAATCACAATAGTTAATAAAATGCCTCCCATTACAGACTCAGCTTTTTAAACATTCAATAATATTCACAGAACTGTCAATAATATTCACAGAACTGGCAAGTTAGTCTCCAAAAAATTCTAATAGAAACTGCAACTCAAAAAGTGTCTATATCAGAGATGGTGTTAACTTCCTCAAAGAAGTTACATGCAAATACCCAGGAGTCTCATGGTTTAGAAGGTGATAGACATATGAGAAAACAATCTTGAAGAAGAAAGCCTCACCCTACCCAAACTTCCCAAATATGATTCAGTGACAGTCAGAGTTGCAAGTGGGCTGGGTGGGCTGAATGGACAAAAGTGCTGACTTACAGCAATTGTTGGGATTTTATAAAGTACTGGAGACATCTGAAACTCTCACAGAAATGAAAAATCCCAGCCAGTTAATAAACAGAATCATTTCCCAAGTTATATTTTACATATGAAACCTAGTTTCTGAAGATAAAGGTTGCATGCTGGCCCTTATTTATTTGGCCTTTTACTCAATAACATGCTGGCAGCACTGGCTGGCTGGAGGAGTAACAGGGCATGTGCATGTGGCAACAGAGTTTTTCCAGGGAGCTTTTCCTATTTAGTTAGAGAGGATCATGACTTGTGTTTCAACATGATTTAGTGAGATCTTTATTGCAGAAAATGAGTGACATACAGAAGTGGGACTGGGAAGCACAGTTAATGGCAGAATTGGGTTTTTGATGCAGACAAAGACTCTAAGGAAGGATTGGAAATACAAATTTAAATGTCCTTATCAGTTCACAATCTTAGTATCCAAATTGTCTATTTAAGGTCTTGAAACCAAATTGTTTGAAAAGTTTTATTTGGTAGCAGAAAAGATCTACAATGGACCTTTACAAAAGATGATGAGCAAGAGGGAAGAAATAAATTTATACATATGATTTTGTTGTCAAAATTTGGGATGATCATCAGTAATCAAGAACTTACATAAAACCACATCTTTTTAAGCAAAGGAAGTAGAAGTTATGTTAATGCCTTGACCAATCAGTTTGCTGAAACTCTGTTAACAGAGATTACACTGAACCGGAATAAAATTAAGTCTATAGAAGACAAATTAAATTATTTTTAACTGTAGTAATGCATAAACTACTTAGACAGATTAAAAACAACTATCTCAACCTGACAATTGATTTCTATCATATCAAGTCCATGATGTCTACAATATTCATTTATACCATGGCTTCTCATAGTTCAGTTTTTAAAATTATATATATATAAATGTGCATGTAACATCGGATGTTATTGACAGTAGTTGTTACCACAGAATGTATGTATCTTTCTCACTGTGTGTACCCACTTAATTTGTTCCTATGTCCAATCCCTGTCATGGACCTGATTGCCTACCTGACAGTGGAGGAGAAGACCTACCAGAATGATCCGAAGACAGAAACAGGAAGGATCAGCCCACCTCAGCATTATTAGAGGGCCAAAGGCTCTGTAGTGAAAGTAGTAATACCAACACTTTCAACGGGCTAAAAAAAGAGGCACTAGGAGTGTTTGTGAACACCCAAGAATTATGATCAGTATCTACAGCATAGTGTGTAGGCATAAAGTAGTTAATATTTTAACAAAATATAAAAATACTGTTTTCTCTAAAGGGGGAAGCAGACAATTCCCCATAAGTAGAAAAAGAAAAACACTGGTGTTCAATTTCCGGTTTAAATGCATTTATGAAGGAAGACTATAATCCCCATTAATTAAATATAAAAGAGTCCAGCAGAAATTATGACCTTAATGTACAAGTAAAGTAATATTTCTATATCAAATTAAATTTAGTCTATGATTAAATACAATGCTATATATACACACACATACAGACACACTCATAGTACCTTTATGGAATTCTCTAAAATGCTCACAGTAACTTATATAGTATTGATAATGATAAAGATGTATAAACTGAAGTGTAGATTTAAAAAATCTTTTACATCTTACTAAATGATATCTTCCATGGGTTAAACAGCTTTTTCAAGTTTGAATTTTAATGTTTGAAAGCAGAACTGTGCTTTGGTATTCAAACCTTCATAAAATCTTACAATTTTTCAAAATAAGGAATTAAGGTAAAGAACTCTAATGTGGAAGAAAGATTTCCAATCTCCAACATCATAACTGTCACATGGTGAACCAGTGGTTTTTAGCCCATTCCTGGCCAAAGTGTAGCTTCTTGGAGGTGAGTTAAAAGGGTTTGATTCAAATTTAGTTTTTATACTTACATATTTTAAAACTTAATAAAAATGCACATTCTGATGTGTTACATACCCTACTTTACCATACTGGAGACTGCTTATGTATTAACTTGCACTACCAGGATAATTTATCTTTGTATAGATCTTGAATAACTTTAGCTATCTCTAATTAAAAAATTTCCTGAGATGTATGTTTAAAACCTATTATTTTTGCTTACATTTGTGTGAATCAAAATTTTCTTGATTAAGTATACATATAAAATAGGGCACAGCTATAAATTGGCTGCTGGTTTCATCAACTATGTATAACTCCACATTTGTGTTAATTCAGAATCTTATTATGCTTAGTAATGAGCCAAAATGAATAAGCATAATGTGAACCTAAAATACATTTATATTGATAAAATTGAGTTTTCAGGCTTTATGTATTGGGGTTATACATAAAATTTCATCTAAAGAAGATTCTAGTGCTAAAAACTTTTGGAAAATACTGCTCTGTAAGAAACTTTTAATTTAATTCTTGAATACAAGTTCAATGCGATTTAGTTTTCTAAAGCAAACTGCCTTTCTAATACATCACCATTTAAAAATTATTCAGAATGAAAAATTTTCTGAAAATCAGAGTGCTATAGATCTTCAAATATGGTGACTTGTAAAAAGTCAATGATAAATTAGACTAAAAACATTCATAAGTGCTTTAGACCCTTCTGATAGGCAGCTGTAAAGATTTTTATTTTTGAATGAATCATGTACTTATTATTGTGTTTTAAGTCTTAAATATATTCATCCTCCAAGTAACAGCATTTAGTATCTTTACACATTAGCTGTATCATGTGTTTTGATAGTTTAGGCACATTTCAGTGATTTTAGATTTTATTTTGTGGTTTCATTATAAAACAGCTTGCACACCAAACTCAATCAATCTTGTTTATTTAAAAATCCACCTAAAAATTCACTTCTGGGTTTTAGTTTTTGTTTAAAAAAAGCAAATATTTAAAAAATTAATGTTAAAGCAAATATAACATTTGATGTTTTAACATCAAATGTTTTAACATCAAATGTTACTAGTCTACAATTCATCTTGTTATGAACATTTTTAGTTTGTGGATTGGGAAAATAAACCTATTACAGTGATTAGGCACAGTACTATGGCCAATGGGCCAGAAATCAGGGCACATCTGTGTACTCAGGCAACAGTTAGAGGTCTGAATGGAGGGACTCATGCCTCAACTGTGGGCACTCCTTTCTCTATGCCCCCTCCAAAAATTGTTGTAAGTCTCAAATCAGTACATGAGATTGTATGTAACTTGGTTAAAAAACAACTATATGTGCTTTCTAAATTATGTTGGAAAGCCAAGACAGATGAATATAATTGTAGCCTCACTATAACTTGTGGTCTTAATATCTATGTCACAGGACCATGTTATAGGTGAGAGAGAATTATACCATCCCTCTGGTGGTTTCAGAAATCTGGTTGGAAGGAGTCCATGGCTAACATTTCACATTGTAGCAAGGCTCCAATATTTCTTGAATTGGGGCAGTGAATATAAATCACAGCACAAAATCTGTAATTCTTTTAGTGGAAAAGCAACCGGTGCTACATATAAGAATCACTTATATAACATCTATTTTTTTTTTTAAAAATGCAGATATAAAATATTAATTGCATAGGGATTTAAATATAAGGCCAAGAAGAATATTAAGTAAAAAAATCATAGAAAGGGCACTATGGTGTCAAGACAGAATTTCATAGAGTAATAAATCTGAATTACTATCTAATTAAAAATCACAGTATGTTGCTGTAACTAACAGTGAATGTCAACTGCTTTATTAATTCCAAACTGAAAACCAGTATTAGGACTAACAAGAACACAACCAAAGCTCATTGTCTAAACCTGATCAGTGGATTAGCACATCACTGCCCGGTACGTACCTGATTAGTTACATAATCTACCTTTTGCAAATAACACTTAATACATGTTAACAAGTGTAAGAGCACATCATCACTGCATGCCATCAATGATTTGCAGGCTTCCTTGGTAGTGTAATTATTCAGTCTTTCAAAGGTGCAAGATCCCACCCGGCGGAATCTTCACTCAATGAACCAAAAACACTGTAATTAACAAAATATAACAAAGTTCCACCATTAAAAACTAAACATACATTAACCAGAGAACTAGGTCCTGACACCAGTATATACATTATGCTCAGCATTTTGGAAGGCAACAAATGATGAGTCCAAGTATAAGCTAATGGTTATCACCTGAAGCTTCAGTTAGAAAGTTAACTTGTGAATCTACCTCTCATTTTAATGTTGTTAGACTGTAGTTTAAACAGCAATTTCCAAATCTAAAAGTAGCTTAGTTGACTTAGTATTGTTATATAAAGTAGTGTGACAACAAACAAGAACTCCCAAAGGAATTATGGTAAGGTACACTGGGAATACCTGAAACAATGTTTTAGATGAAAAAGTGCATAAATACAGTAATACTACGAGTGTGTTAACTATGGAACAAACGTTTCTCTGGGAGCTAAACAATACTATTTTCCCACATTATTTACATGTTATGAATTGTTCAGATACCACAAAGCACCACTTAAGTCTAAATTGCTTGATTATGTCAGAAAGGTCCTTTGACTTCAACTCTATTCATTTGAGGATCTACCTACAGTAGAAGTGTCAAGTCATTCTTCAAAAGGGATTTATCTTTACAATTCAGTTTTCTTTTGTTCAGAAATGGCAAGGCAATATTTTCATTTCACACTCTTTGTTGGTGTTTCTGATTCTGTGGACTGTCTCCCATCTGTCCAGGCTTCCCGGGTACTCTTTAGGGCCAAGGTCTTCTGTTGGTCAACAACAACATAATCCACTCTCTCATCTGCTACACTGCTGCCTGAGCCACTGCTCTTTTGCTAAAATACAAAGAAAAAACAAAAAGTCCAACATATAAAGGAGTGTTTCTGAGTACAACTCAGTCTTAAAACACAAACACACATGCACTGTGAATTTTTTTTTTTTTTTTTTTTTT